CAGATTTCAGCAAGCTGCTGCTCTAGGTGACCAGCAGCAATGTGCTACAGCTCCAGAACAACCAAGAGCACTCAAGTGCTCCTTAGAAGGGACAATGTGGTGCCACCAGCACTCCCCAGTACCGTGTGGCCCTTGGTGGCCGTGGAGCCGGGCAGTGTCTCGCAGCCGCCTGGCAGGAGCACTGCTCTAAACCCATCGGGCAGATCCAAACCAAGCAGCATTTCCAAGGTACTGACAATGATGTTTTCAGTCCCCACTGCGTGATGGGAGAACTTCAGCTGCTCTTTTGCCCGGGTAGCACCATGCCAAGCTCCCTGTTCTGCAAGTCTCTGGAAAAATGGTGTGGGTTTTGCAGGGTACACTCAGTGGCACCCCAGTGGGAGATGCCATCCTTAGTGTGGGTGCCTCGGTTCATGAGTCCCTCAAATGCAGAGTTTGGGGGACACACCAGAAGGATTTTGTGCCCTAAAACCCCCAACTCAATGTCTTCCAGGTGGAGGTCGCCCATGACATTCTCACTTGTCATGTACAAGATTGTGGTTAGCACATTTCTCTCTCTCTCAGTATTTTTAATAGAGGTGCACAGAGAGAAATGAAAGATAAAACCATTTCTATTTCTGCTCCTTGTTTTTCCTATGTGGAATGAGTTTGAAGAATTATTTACCTGGAGAGAATGCTTGTTTGGATTCTGGTGAGGATTGTTTGAGCCTGATGGCCAATCCAACCCACCTGGGGCTGGGCTTTCGAGAGAGGGTCACGAGTTGTGGGGGAGTTAGAGTTAAGAGTCAAAGAAAGTAGTGTATAGTATTAATATCCCCCTTTTATGTAACATATTAATGTAGTTTAACATAGTTATAATAAAGAAATAATTCAGCCTTCTGAATTGAGTCAGACATCATCATTTCTTCCCATTAGGTTCACCTACATTACAATACAAGATGCTTTCACAACTTTGCAGAAGTTTTTGTCTTTGTTTAAAATGCGCATTGTGCGGGACATGGGAAGGGGGGTCATTAAGTACCTTCAAATTCATGCAGCACTTACCAAAATCAACATTAAAAACCAATTTGCATGAGAACATCCAAGTGCCTCGACGCTGAAATATTTCCCATCTACAAATCCTGCCACTAAACCCAGGGATGACTCTAGGTCAGCCAGAATTGGCTCCTGGCATGTGGAAACCTCAGCACTGCTCTGCTTGACCCTGGAGTGGTTCCAAACCATCCAGAAGAGCAGTGCCCCCTCAGAGACCATCTCCCACTGCTTTTGGGAAGCCTGTCCCATGAGTAGGTTTGGGTAATGCACACCTATAGGATACATGAATTCCAGCTGCATTTCAGGGTGGATCTCCCTCAGCCACATCCGCTTCCATCACTCGCTTTTAAAGAGCAAACACAAGCTGCCAACATCCTCATGAAGGATAAGCCCAACAATTTAGCAGCTCCCTCTTTTTTTAATATATTTTTCTAATTTATTTTTTTAAACACCACATCAAACCCCAACGGGATTTTGGGGGGCGAGGTAAAAATTTGCTGATCCTCCCTGTGGCGAAGTTACTTTCAAGTCAGCGAAAGTTCTTGGCCCGCAATGAAAAGTCTTTGCCAATTAGCGCTCAACAACTTCAATTCATCCCTCCTGGTTCAAGATGAGTAGGAACCTAATAAGGCTGTGATAAAAGGGCAAAAGGCACCGAGTACCCAAAGGGGATTAATGGGCTCTTCCATTTATTTGTCTTCCTAACAGCTGAACTGTTACAAGTATTGACGGTCTTCAAACGCCGGCCGTGGTCTCCAATGGCCAACTCCAGCTCCGGGGATCAGGTAATGAAACTTCAGCTTTTCCCCCCTCCTCCTTCTTCTTTGAGATTTATTTACTGGCAGCTGACAAGGGGCAAATTCAGCTGGAATTGTGTAGTCAAGGCCCTGTCAAGCCTTCAGAGGCACCCTTATGTCGAATCACCTTCCTGACTGGCATGTCGCTGAAAAGCCCTCGGCGCTGGTCCTTAACAGCTCCCGACAGCACAAAGGACACTCCAGACAGATGCCTACATGGCATCCTGCAGCATTTTAAAAGAGAATTAGTGGTTTTAATTATGGTCGTCGTATGAAAGGAAACCATGCAAGCTCGGCAGGAGACCTTTGATCAAACCCTTTTGCTAGCACAATGCCGCGGAACTGTGACTATTCCTAGCAAGGGGCCTTTTCTCGCTGAATGACTCACCAGTGATCTTTGAATGCAGACAAGTTCCTCACCCTCCCTCTTCATTAGCGAGCATTTCTATACAGCCCCTATATAGTGCGCCGAGTCTTGGAGCTATACAATGGGGGGGAAAAAAGAATCCCTACAGATTCTGGCCTCTACTTAGGAAGTGCTGAAGGACTCTGAGTGACTTTATTCATTAAAACAGGTTGCTATTAATTAACTGTCATAATAAAATAAAGAACTATTATTTGCATTTCTTAGTGCGCTCCCTTTAGTAATATGTATAAAAGATGCTTGTAACAAAAATGAATTTATAAGGGAGAAAAAAACCCTCAGAAGTCTTTTTTTCCCCTCTGCCCCCACCCCTTTTTTTTTTTTTTTTTTTTTTTTNTTTTTTTTTTCAGGTCTAGGCAGCAGGAGCCTGACTAATTATTAGGACCCGTTTTGCAAGAGAACAAATAGAGGTAAAACACAAATATGAAAGTAATTAGGAAAATGCAAAATCCTGTTTACTTGGCAACCGATTCATGCAACTGAGACTAACGAAGAGCAAATCAGCTTTGCTTGTTTGATAAACTTCAGGGTGCCACCTAAGAGGAGCTGATAAAAATTAAACTCTGCCAGCATCCCTCTGCACCGCCTTTTAGCCAACAGGCTCAGCGACATCCACGCAGCGGCTCCGTCTGCGAGCACCAGCAAATCTCATTTGAACAGGTTCATGGGGAGGAATTTTGGAAGTTCCATCAGTGCTGGATATTTCGCCCTCTGTGGCATATCTCGTGCTGAACACCCAGCACAGACCCCTGCATCTCGCGCGCGCAGGATTTGTAAGGACACGGAGCACGTCAACGGCACGGTTCTGATTTTCTCCCTAAAAAGGCATCACCATCCCACTGCTCTTCACACCTGGGAAGGATTTTGCCAGTGGTAAAGTCCTTTTTGTAGCCACCACCACTGTTTATTACAATATAGGATGATGCTTTACTCGGTACAGCCTCTCTTTTCTCCCGAGCAGATAGTGGGATCTAAAAGCTTCCAATTATTTCAAGACTATGCAGCTAAGGAGGGCATCTAATCAACATAAAGAAAACCCTCAGCTCAGTATATTTGCTTGAATGGATTTGCAGGTAACAAAAGCATTCAAAAATTGGATTCCTAACGCTTTTCTGCTGGGGCTGGAGGACTGGTTTGGAGAAGGAAGGAGAAAGCTGCAGGGAGGAATGTGTGATATTCCCTCTCTCTGTACAAACACTTCTGCAGGGATTGAGAGGAGGGAAGAGATTTAAGTGAGGCACAGGCGACCTGAAATGTAGTCAATTACAACACAAAGAGTTACAATGACACCCCTGAACTGTTCCTCTTCCCTCTCACCCCTCTGCTTTTGTGGCTTTGCAACCCAGAAGCCACAGTTTTCCATCTTTTTATTGCTCATTTCCCATCTGCTGTTTGTACAGGAATGGCTCATAGGAATTAATGGGGAATTGCTATGGAAATCATATACTACAAAAATAAGAGTGAGAGAGTGAAAAATAAAGCATGTTATTTTGCAACTGGAGTTAGAGATTCCTAGACAGCAACTTGATTTTTATATAGGAAACATTCAGTGAAAGTTGGAAAAATCAGCACCTGGAGAGAAAGAGGTTTTAAAAGGATCTATTAGGAATAGCAGCCATGTGTCCCTACACACACCTCAAACTGCAAACCTGCAGAGCATCCTCCTGCAACACCCCTCGCTCCTGCCCCCATCCCAATCTGCTCCAGAGATGCTGTTTCATAATGTGAGCTCTCTTTATTACTTCTTTCTTCTCTGACAGTTTTACCAGTCCAAAAGAAATCCTGACCTGGCAGCAATTTGTATCCTGCAAGACTGGATTGAAATATCACAAAACCAGAGAATAACATATGAAGTTTTAGATTAACAGAGATTTACAGGAACAACCCCAGAGTTTTGGGTCTGTTTTAAGCATTTGAAGTACTGTTAACTGACAAAATATTGAAAAACACATTTTATATCTTTTCTATTTAAAATAAGTTGAGTTCTTGGTAACCCCAGAAGTCGCTTGGCTGCTGGGGCAGATTGAAAGGGAAGCTGCTCTTAACATCCCACATGGGGTCTGAGGAGATGTCACAGTGCTGCCAGCAGAGACCCTCTGCAAGGGAAAATAACACAAGTTTCTTGCTCACTGTTGGAACTCTAAGCAATAAAGACCATCCCATTCTAAAATCCCAAGGGAATGAAAGCAGGCAAGCCCAAAAAGCAAGGGAGGCATAAAATATGGGTTGGTCTCTACCCACTCCATCCCAGCAGGACATCTGGTCCTTCCAGTACCTAAAGGGGTTACAGAGAGCTGGAAAAGGACTATTTACATGGGCATGAAGTGACAGGACAAGGAAAAAAGGATTCAAAGTGAAGGAGGGGCAGGGTTAGATGGGAGATTGGGAAGGAATTGTTCCCTGTGAGGGCGGGGAGGCCCTGGCACAGGGTGCCCAGAGAAGCTGTGGCTGCCCCTGGATCCCTGGAAGTGTTCCAGGCCAGGCTGGACAGAGCTTGGAGCAACCTGGGATGGTGGAAGGTGTCCCTGCCCATGGCAGGGGGTTGGAATGAGATGATCTTTAGGTCACTTGTAACCCAAATCATTCTGGGATTCTGTGATTATGACTCTGCAGTGCCCTTGGGCACAGGCACAGCCAGGGCTCAGAGCACATCCAAAACAGTGAATGAGCAGGCTCCTGGGAGGGCACCATCCCACAGCTTGTCCTGCTGGAAACCCACCACAAAAACACACAGACACAGCACAGCTAATGAAAAATGGCTTTAGGAAACCTCTTGGCTCAGCAACAGAGGAAACAACAAAATGCTAAATACATTTTTACATCTAGAATGGATGCTGCATTCATTAAAAAATTATATATATATTCACAGTACAAGCTCATAGTTTTCTTGTAAAAGAAAACTCTCTTTTTTGAATCCAAATATTTTATTTAGTGGTGAGCTTCTCCCTTACCCCAAAAAAATTTCATTTGGCAACAGAAATCAAACATCACTATGTTCCTGCAGAGGGGATCACACCTGATTTCCTCTCTGCTGCCATTTCTGTCACCTTTTGAAACCCCTCTCACGCCGCCAAGGACCAATTCAGATTTTAATTCCCGTCTTCAACATTTCAGCAAGGCCAGGAGCTACCCAGCTTTGCTCCTCAGCTCTGCTTTCCTTCTCCTCAGCCCCTGCAGCTCTTCCCTGAGGTGCTGCACAGCCTGCAGGATGTCCTGGCGCTGGGGATCATCCTCTGCCCTCTCAGTGTAGAGCAGGAAATGTTTCACAGTTTGGGAGAGCAGCGTTTCGGGATCCACGTCCCCCCGGCCCAGGCGCAGCATCCTCTCGCAGGCGATGGCGTAGTTTTTGTGCCAGTTCACCGGGTGATGGGGATGGGAGTTGACAATTTCTTTGTATGACTGTTAAAAGGAACAAAAACAAAGAAAAAAGATCAAAAAAGAAAAAAAAAAAAAAAAAAAAAAAAAAAAAAAAAAAAGAAAAAAAAAAAAAAAAAAAAAAAAAAAAGAAGGTAGGGGCAGCAAATTAATTGAACAAAGTGGGAGCAACAGCTTTTAAACAGTGCTTCAAAACTGCCTGGAAAGAAACAGATGCTATTTAGATGTCCAAGTCCAGAGCTGAAGTATTTCTGTAATTTGCTCTGTGTTTGCCATTCAGCAGCATGAATCAGAAATCCAAGGGGGGCTGAAACGTTTCCCTTCCAACAGCAGCTGTTTGTTTAGAAACATTACAGATGATGGTGATAACCCCACAGCACATTATGTGCTTCCCCTGGAGAGGTGTTACACCAAGCTGGGGGAAAAAAGAGATTTAACTGCCGCGCCTGCAAGACATTTACTCAATATTTCAGGAGATCAGGATGTCTTCCACAGGACTTAAGCAGTCTGTTGACTTGAGTGGGAATATTCATAAGCTCAACAGCAGGCATGTGCCCGGGAACTTTGCAGAACGGCAAAACTCACAGCAAAATGGGCAAGAATTTAGGAAACCATTTGTTGATTCTGTGCTGGACTATGAAACACTGCTCCTCTCTGCTGATACACACTGATCACTTTGTGCATCTGTTGGCATCTCAGGCAGTCCAGTATTTCCAGAGATACCTACACCAGCTTATGGGTGTTATTCTTCGGTGTGAAATGCAGCAGAATTAATTTGCAGAGAGAAGACTGTCGGATTTTACACTTGCTGGCTCAGACTGCACGACTGTGTAATGACAGAGGGGACAAGTGCATAGAGGGGACTTCAGGACAAGCAATCTCTTGGCATGGGTTTGGAGGCCAGCACAGACAACATAATTATAGCAAAAGCAGGGTGTTGACTGGTTTGCTTTTGGCATCCTCCGTGACCGAGCGGGCAAGCAGGAATGGATAAAATCCCTGAACAAATCTCTTTGAATCGGCTGTGCTCCCAGTTTGGATAAACAAGGGGAATGCAGATTACAGGGCCTGCGTGGAAACACCATATTTCCACAGACTCCAGAAATTTAAATGAAAAGAGGGGAAAAAAATTATGCTGGAGGCTAAAAAATGAGGATGCAGTGAGCACTCCTAACCCAAATGCAGGACTTACAGTGTATGCAAATGTGTAAAGTTGTGCTTTCATTTCTGCAGTCACACTGGCCTTTTCTGCGAGGTCAAAGATGAAGAAAGCTGTTTTCATCCTAGGAAAACAAGAAAAACTTCCATGTGGGAACTGCTTAATGCAGCCAGCTCACATCACAGGGTTATACACAGCTTGATCACGTCCACATGTGGGACAGCAAAGCCACCAGCGATACAAATTTCTCTCCATAATCTATTTCCTCACCCTACATCCCAACTACCTTTGAGAGACTTGGGGCAGAACCTTTTGGTGAATACAACAGCCACTTTCCTGAAGGCTTTGCTGGCATTCTTCCTCTCATCATGCCAGCCTTTTCCTTCTAAATCTTGGCACTTGCAGACCCAACAAGGCCACGGCCCATCAAGCTGCCTGCTTTGGTGTGTGTTTCCACACCAGTGAGCTGGCAGTGCCCACTGGCTGCTGGAAGAGAGCAAAGGAAAATTACCTGGCTTGCCACATCTCCTCGTTGGCGACAGCTTCCCAGGAAGAGGGGCTGAAACTAAATGGGAATGGAAATAAAATTCAGCCATCAGATCCACGTGGCTGGGTTTCACCCAGCACAGCCCTTCCAGCCCCCGCAGCTACAGACCTCCCAGGCAGGAGAAAAACTGTCATGGAGCCTGTGGCTCTGACAGCAGGGAATTCAGCTGATTCTCTGTCATTCAAAAAACTTTGTGCCTCTCTCTCCACAGAAGGAGCCTCTGGTGTATCAGGTGTTTCACAGCATCCCAGATCTCAGAGCCAGAGATGTTTTTTATCACCATGGCCTATGACATTTAAACCTCTGGATGTCTTAATAATTTTAGATCCTGATCAAGTTTGAAAGTCAGAATTGGACCTCATACTTGACTAGCAATGTCCTTGCTGTTTTTTACACTATTAAAAATCACAGATCACAGAATGGTTTTGTGTGGAATGGGCACACAAAGATCATCTCATTCCAACTCCCTGCCATGAACAGGGACACCTTCCACTATCCCAGGTTGCTCCAAGCCCCATCCAACCTGGCCTGAAACACTGCCAGGGATGGGGCAGCCTAGCTCTCTGGGCTGTGCCAGCTTCTCACCACCCTGACAGGGAAGAATTTCTCCCTGCTATCTCTCCAGAACACAAAGCATTGAGATTATGGCTCTTGCTTGATTCCTCTAACGCTGCAGCGGGTGTGGCAATGCTGCTGGCAGAAAATGCTGAGCAGGAAGGAGCAGAGGCTCCTCTGCCACGTGCCTGCCATAGTCTTCAGTCCAGTTATAGAGATTCCTTGTGAGACGAATCCACTCTCCTGGGTCAAACACAGCTCCAGAAGGAACCAACTTTTCACATGTCCCCCAGGGCCAGAGCGAGTGGCTCCTTCTCCAGGTTGAGTCCCCTTCATGAAGACCTATGCAGACAAACACTTCCTTACTGCCAAAAAAAAACCAACAGAGAGATCCATGGTGAAGCCACCTCAGAGACTGTGGGCCACCCCGTGTCCCCACAAACCAGACCACACCACACTGTGCAACAAACACACCCACCCAGCACATCTCCCGTCAGCACGGGCACGTTTTGGGGCAGTCTGGAAAACAGATAAATGAATTCTCCATCTGGCATTGCCTATCTTGAGCAGCCAGGACAGCTGGCACATCTTGTCCTCTCTCTTGAACCTCCCAAACAGGCCAGAAGCTGTAGGAGGAGCCCATTTCTGCCCACTGGCACCTGGCTGTGCTCCTGTGCCTCCCCACCCTCGCAGGGCTCACCCCAGCTAGTCTAAATGCAGATGCTATTCTTATTCGTGTGAGTATCTAATCCTTTCTCCACTCTTACTAAGCTATTTTTATATGATGATTATTCCTGGAATACATTCATTCTATGCTAATCAGTTGGCCACAATGTTCACAAAGGAGAAGCAGCAGCAATTTGCTCTCCAACCATCGTCGTTCTGAGTACACAGGAACGTTCCTATTCTCTGTGATGAATTGTATCGACACCAACAACAAAAAATCATCAGTAAACACTCTGCAGATCACCTTTTTTTCCTCTCCTTCCTAAAAACCAAACCAACCTCAAAACAACAGGCAATATTATATCCGGATGGAGTTACTTCTGCAGAGATATTTTGCTTTAATTGCAAAAATAATCTCGCCACCGGGGAGGAAGTCAGTGGAGAAAATTGGTCTTTTGGATGCAGTACCAAGCTGTTCCATAAACAATTTCCAGAGGAAAAAAAAAAAAAAAAGG